TGTAATGATATAAAACGGTTTGGTTGTCTTTGATTTGTACTTTTATACCATTTTGGTTTGTACGTTTGTGGGGGTCCCGTTGCAGCCAACAAAGAATATTGCCTAGGCTCTGCAGCGGAGTGATTCACGCCTTATTCTTAGTTGTCGATATTAGGCTGAGAACTGTCTCGACCATTCTAGGTGCTACATTCGATTGTCTCCATTCCTCAGGTCGGACCGAGCGATCTTGGCATCACAGTCTACCTGTTATTGATGTGTGTTCAGGCGAGCGATATTGGCGCCACGAATGGCTATCTTCATTCCGCGAGATGGACCGGGGGATCTTGGCGCCACGGTCTGTCGGTATTTAGTTTGTGCTCAATCGGGCGATCTTGAAGTCATGGCTAGCTGTCTTCATTCCCCGGGTCGAACCGGGCGATCTTAACGCCACAGTCTGTCAGGCTTTGGTTTTTGCTGAACAGGAAAATCTTAGCGCCATGACTGACTGTCTTCATCTCCAGATCGAACCGAGCGATCTTGGCGCCACGGTCTGTCAATTTTTGACATGCACTTAGTCAGGCGATCTTCTCGTCACACCTGGCTGTCTTCATTCCCTAATTCAGACTAAGTCTTCTTAGCGCCACGATCTATCGGTCTTTGTTTTGTGCTCAGTCGGGCAATCTTGACATAATGGTTGACTGTCTCTATTCCTTGGGTCAGACCGAGCAATCTTAGCGCCAAGATATGTTGGTCTTTGATATGGCTCAGCCGGACGATCATGGTGTCACGCTTGGCTGTCTTCATTCCCCGGGTTGGATCGAGCAATTTTGGATCTACAGCCTGCGAGCCTTTGATATGCTCTTAATCGGGCGATCTTGGCGTCACAGCTGGTTGTTTTCATTCCTAATGTTGGACCGGACGATCTTGGCGCCACGGTCTGCTGGTCTTTGAAAAGCGCTCAACCGGGCGATCTTGGTGCCACGATTGTTTTTTTCATTATCCTGGTCGAACCAGGCGATCTTAACGCTATGGACTGTCGGTCTTTGATTTGTGCTCAATCAGACGATGTTGGCGCCACCGTTCGTTGCCTTCATTACCTAGGGCGAACCAGGCTATCTTGGCGCCACCGTGGATGGCAGTCTTCATTTCCTGGGTCAGATTGGGAGATCTTGGTGTCACGGTCTGCCAGTCGTTGATTTGTGCTCAGTCTGGCAATCTTGGCATCACGACTGATTGTCTTCATTCCCCGGCTCAAACCGGGAGATTTTGGTGCCACGGTTTGTCGATCTTTGATATGCGCTCAACCGAGCGATCTTGGTGTCACTGCTGGCCATCTTCAGCATTTCCTCGGGCTCCTTTCTGACCCGAAAGTTTTGATTTTTTTATTAGTATGGTGCTCGCACACAATTTGAGTAGAATATTGGACAAAAGCTTTGGAATTGCTACAAAGTGAGGAGATAATTTTCATATAAGACTTTTTATGTTGAGGGTACAGAAGGGGAGAGGGGATGAAAGAGGAAAAAAAAAATCAGACAAGCCAACTATAACATCGGGTGGCTCCTTCTAGGAGTCACACTAAGGGGCGCCTGTTCCTCCAAGGATCGTTGGGACCACCCTGACAATATTGATGAAATTCGTTCAGACGGGCCCAGACTGGGCCTTCAGTGTCGTCCCTTTCCCGTATCTCTGACCCGAGTGTCCTTAGGTCATGAACTCCTTTAGTTTGCCCGCCTTGATCAACTTCTCGATGAGACTCTGGAGGCACTTACATTTCTCGCTTGAGTTTCAGAGAAAACCTCTAGCTCATTGGCATGGGCTCATTGAAATACTCTGTCTTGGATGGTGTCCAAGATTTCCGCCATCGATAACCTCAGAAGGGTAGCCCGCAAGCCATCATAATCACCGTACAATTGTTCATATCACAGCGCCAGTCTCTCGTTGTACTGGTTCGATCGCAGGTCTCGATTCCTTGTTCAGCCATCGTGCAGGCGTATCATTTGATCCATCCACCATTGCGAGAGGACCGGCCATCTTCGAAACGGCGTTGGATGGGTGATTTGCGTTCTTCCCTTGGTTTTGACATGTCGCCCTGAGGGAGTCCTTTTTTGGGTGTGGCGTCCTTTGATTCTTGTTTGGGGGCACTCTCTTCTGCTAGCATGTGCTTGGATCTTTCCAATAACTCGACTAAATCCTAGGGTTCGTTGATACTGAGGTCGTAGGAAAATCTTTCGAAAGGCGTCGACTTTGAGGACTTTCAACATTTCCCTTTAAAATGCACGATGAACCAGCGCAGACTCTCGCGCTCACACTGCTTGAGTTGCCAAAGAGACTGCATGTTCTACATGGGTTTTCAGGCGCTAGCGAACTGTGCCAAGAAAAGCCTCTTGAAATCAGCAAAGCTACTGAAGCTCCCGACCAGGAGTGCGTCGAACCACTTCAAGGGTGACGACCTCAAAGTGGTGAAAAACATACGTTGATATCTTGAGAAGGCACACGACCAATTCAAATGCGGCGATGTGGTCGTTGGGGTTTAATCGTTCCCTGAAAGCTTTTAAGTCCGGCAATTTTAACTTTTCCAAGGGCTCCGCTCAAGAGATTTTGACGGAGAAAGCATTCTCCGACTGGCGTAGAGCTTGACGCGTTGCCTTTCCACTTGATCAGATCCAGCGCTAACTTGGACTGCGAGTCGCCGACCCCCTTGGGACCGTGATTCGCCCTCCTGCGGTTCATTTTGCTCTTGTGGGGCAAGGTTTCACGCCAGGGCTGCGATGTCCCTAAAGACCTTGGCGAGCTGGCCCCACTTGATCCACAATTTGAGTCCTCATCTCCTGCATTCCTCTTTGCATGTGTTCCTTTATGTCATCTCATGGGGGGTCAATGTTGGTCATCGCTCTTTGGTTACTCCCTTCCCTCTGCGATCGATGTGCTCATCTTTTATTGATGACATGACTCTACGCTCACCATACCTTTCAAGATGTTAAATTTGAATCTGTCTAGAAGACATGCCTAAGGAATAGAATGTTGGGGGATGAGGGAGAGAGAGAGCAATAACACAATGAAGAACAGCAAATTTGTGTAACATTTATTCATGAAATGGTCATCTTATTATAGGAATGGATTTTTATACATTTACACACTGTACCGCTAGAATACATAGGTACGGCGAGGGTATTTTAATCCATACATTAAAATCCCCATGGGGTCCACGGTACGACCGTCCGGCTGTTAATAGGCCAAAGTGGTCGCTAAGTTAGGTGGTTGTATGGCCGAGTGACAATGGTCGGGCAACTACTCACCGAAAATCCTCACCATCTGCCCTGAAATTGAAGGGTCTGCTTCTTCCTCTTGATCTCTCCGAGCTAGAGGGTGATAGGCTCGACCAAACAGATCTAATCACCCGGATTCTTCAGGGTGGTTCCTCCCTTATCGATCTAAAACATACAGTTTACACGTTGCAAGGAGGAAATTGGTCGGTCAATCATGTAACCCCGGATCGCCCTTTGTAGGCCCCACAAGATCACATCACATCTTCAGTTACCCGTGAGATGTCGTCGCGATTTGTGCTGGCACATTTTTGAATTACAAATTTAATAATGGGTGCCAACTTTGGCATCAATGATAGGCATCTGGCTTGTTAGCAATAATGGGTGTCAATGCTGATGTCAACGATACAGGTCTATCTTATTGGTGATGACAAGTATTAACACGTATGTTAATGACATGTGTTTGTCAAATTGGAGATATCAGGCACTAATGCTAAAATCAACAACTAAAAGTGTTGTGTCGACAATGAGAATAGACCTTGGTAGCAAATATGGTCATGAGTGTTGAGTGCCTTCTTTATTTGTGATGAGAGTAGTCGATAGCTAATATGTATTATTCTGGAATCTTTTCTTAGTTTTTTTCAACCATTGTCTTAGCCTACTCAAAAAAAGTGTATAGATGTCTATTTAAATATTCTAAAAAAAATAAATTCAAATCATTTTGACAAAAAAATTAAAATACTCAATCAGGCAATATGTGTTGGCCCCTCTTGATCATGAACGATTTTTAGATATCATGAACGATTTTTAGATATTAATATTGAGCTCATTAGATTCATCACACCAAAACATTTATTTCAACTATAAGTTTTCTAAAAATTGAGCTTGAATCATCAAAGAATAGATTTTGAAAGTTTCCTAGTCAAATGGTTCAACATTTTTTAGATCTAAAAATTATGTTGTGTCGAATTGAATGATTTTTTATTGAGGTACAAATTATCTCATTTTTCAATGTCTATATGAGTCCAAAAATAATTCATGTAAGGAACACTTTGTAGCATTAAATCATAATTTTAGAAAAATTTAAGGACGCAATTATTTTTTATACATTAACTTGAACCTCCCTTCAAAGTCGTGAATCAAGTAAATTTTGCTCGATCACAATTGCACCCTTTCATGAAGTTTATACATTATTTGGATTAAAATTATTAAAGTTAAACAAATTTGACTAAAAATATTGTAGGCAAATTATTGAGATCTAAATAATCTTGAAAAGAAATACCATGCTTTGGTAAAATGTGAAGGAGAGCAAGCACTTGAAACAATATTGTCAGCTTTAGATAAAATAATACAGCTTGTAAATGCCAAGCAAAACAAATAACTGAAATTATATTTTAAAAGCAGGTTTCACCATAAAGAGATTGGAATAATGTGGTTTACAACTTAATTAAAACTAGCTTTCTTCATCAACTCTAAAAAGCGCACATGAAGATGTTCCTTGATGCTAAAGCACAGAATGATTTATTGATATCAAATCTCAATCATATGTTCAACCTGTATAAGGAATTCTAATGATCTAATTAACGTACAAATTTTAGAAAAGAAGGCGCAACAATATCCACACCCACAATATATTAAAAGCAAAACTTTGGGCACAAAATTGAAGTCACTAGTGCGCATTTTGAGATTGCATAAATAGACATGGGACGTATAGACTGTTACGTAGGAAAAAAGACAGTAGATTGAAAGCAAGCATACCAGAGGGAGATTTCGAGACAGTTCAACAAGCACCTACTAAAGATTTGTTTAGTAGTTTCATCATTATTTAAAATCATATAAGCTTCCACATATTGCTTCCAAAATTTTGCCTGCAAAATATAATGTTAAGTTAGAAGAGATAAAAAATGGAGAGAACATTTTTTTACTGTTAGGGGAGAAAATATGTGCTTCTTATTTAGTAGAGAATAGAGATCACCCTGTGGGGGGGGAGTATAATATTCTAAGATACAACGAAAATAACATACACTGCGTTCCAAGTATTAATTATCTTCCAAATTAATCTAAGTTTGTGCTAACAATATTGTCAAGCTAAAACATGTAGATTAACCAGCTTCAACTTATTGCATAACCAAGAGAAAGGTAGAAGAATTGGAGATCTGTTAAATATATTGACTAGTTTTTCTGAACTAGAAACATAAGAAGCGACAAGCCATTTTGGAAAACAAAGCATCATAAATGAAATAACGATCAAATTAATATATATGGCTCATTCATGAAATTCATAGTTGCTAACAATGTAAATGGCATCATCATAGTCACCACACATTATCATATAGACGAACTAGAAAAAAAACACTCCAATAAATACCTTTGACCGCATTATTTTGCATGAAAAATCAGTCGTGGATTTGTAGTTAGTGGAAACATCATGTCTAACTATAGTAGTATGTTTTGTATTTTTTCCAAGCGACCAAGTTACCTTCAAGGCTCCAAAAAAATTATAATATCTATATACAACAATCTGCAAATAGTATTTTACCTCATGGATAAATTCATGATCACTCCCAATAAACAAAAGGCCATCAACATAAACAGATGATGTAACAAAGTCTAGAGATCCGTTAATGACAGAAATAACATGATTTGCAATGCCAACCTTGATAAAACCATAATTATTTTTTTCAAACCAAGCTAACTAACAAATTTTATGCCAGTACAAGACCTTCCTGAGTAGACATGTGGTTCTCCCCCTACGCAACACAGAAGGTTGCTCATTATAAACATTCTAATTCAAAGTCATTATTTGCATCCAATTCTACCAATAGTACTGTAGTATAGCCCATCATTAATAGATTGATGAGAATTTCAATGAAGCTTAGCCCGGCAAACAAAGAGCAAGGTGTCAAAGTAATTTATCCCAAAGCCTTGTCGGAATCATTTCGCAGTAATTCAAGCCTTTTATCAATTTATTGAGCCATAAATGCGAGGTTTAATAGTGAACATCTAGTAACAGGCATTTAACCCCGGTAGAAAGAAAAACCAAATCTATGGTCTGAGAACTAAGCAGAGGACCTTAGAAAGAATATAATTGAACAAATAATATATATGAGTAACGGCCATGAATGGTACATTACTTTTATCTTCCCATAAGGTAATTTCTACATGTAAATCATAAAACCAATTAGTAAGTGGATACTCAGTTAAATCTAAAAATTTGGTCCCGAGACTTTTGTATAAGGTGTTTGAGGGAGTCAAGAAAAAGAGGAAGGTATAAAACCTATAAAGGAAAAAGAACAAGCTGTATGCACGTAGATACATGAGAAAGACAAGAAATATATAGTCTCGTAAATGGGTACATCAACGGAAGTGTATAAACATTGAGTAGAAGATAGTAGCATTTTATAAGCGTGAGAAAACACGAGTGAGTTTATGATGCGAAAGAAAGCACAGACTAAATATATTAAATCAAATATCCTAGGTGTACCAAAAAACAACTTGACAAAGATAAAGGGCATAGATAGGAAAAAATTGCTGAGAAGAGGTGAGGAGATACAGGCGATGAGCTAGTAGGCTGTCAATACTACATCCAAATTTGAAGAGGGGCATTCATCGAATGAGCTTGCAATATTTCGAAGATGAATATTTTTAAATTTTACAATATCATTATATTAATATGCTTAAAATACGGATTTTGATTAATAATATAATAGGTATAGCAAAAAGAGAAAAACTTAGAATACATAAAATATAAAGCATTATCACTACAAAAAAACAATTTTAATTCCTAATAAATAATCTAAAATATATATCTAGCTCTGGCCAACATTTGAGGAAAAAAACCTTAAATGATCCGTGAAAAATCATTAATAGATATTTCAAAATAACAGAATCCCAAATGAGAGAGAAAATACAAGGACTCCCAGTTGACTTACTCAATAGGAAAATGGCAAGAATTAGTGTATAGAAAGAGAATGGCACATAAAAGCCACACACATGGCAATCAAGTACAAATAAAAATTATGAAACAAAAATTAATACCAATGTCTACTGGGAACAGAATGACCATGTCAGAAATGCCATTGGAACTGTATAACATTAGAAAAGCAAAAGGAAGGAACATTTGTTGTCCTGTTGTAGAACCCGCCAAATTTATACCTCCACTAATCATTCTGTTGAACTGAGATTCAGCATGAGAATGATAACATAGTACATAAAATTGGAAGTACTTGTAAGACAATGAATAAATAATATGTTCACAGAGAATGAAAAGAAATATAAAACAATTGATAAAGATAATAAATTTCAAAAGATGTGCAATACTCTTTCCAAATATGAGAGGCGTGCAGGCATTAACAAAAATAATAAATGAGAGGTCATATGAAAAAGATATTAAAAAAATTTTGTAATCACCTATTGAATCACCTTAAGACACATGGTGTATCAATAAAAATGGTTGTGCTGGATCTAAAGAAAGATTACAATGAATGTTGAAGTAATCAATCATAATTTCGCAAAGAGAGATTAATTGATCCAGAAGATGAAGCAACGGAAGGACTAGACAAGGCCCACCAATTGTAGAATTATATAGAGTGGCAAAGGAATAATCAAATCTATACTGGCAATATCTATGAGTATGATTGGAAAATAGGATGAAAAAGTATCATAGCCACGGCCAAGTCTACCAATAGTACAGCCACAACATCCAGAACTTCCTAGGTCACCCTAAACGAACATTAAAGTTGATTGATCGAGAGTAGGAGACTGGAGAGAACTCTATGATGCAAACATCCTATAAGAGAATAATGGTAATTTTAGGAAAGGTATAAACTACAAAGAATTATATTATCCTAAGATAAATTTGAAAATTATAAAATTTTCAGTCTGTATTTGCCAATTAGTTCGATCAATAGTGAAATTTGATCCTCCACTCATAAAATTTACCTTTTACTGTGCTCCTGATCAATATATTATTTTGTTGGAGAGAAAAAACGAGAAAATATATAGTTTAGATATTAGAGATGTTACTTTCCTAAAGTACATACCACAAAAAAAAATATCTCATTCTTGAATGAATCCTAAGACATGATAACTAAGGCAATCGAAGGTTCAAGGCTATTAAGTGATCAAATAAAAACATGATAGCAGGAAGAATGCAACTTTGAAATTTGGCAGTAAGTGATATTCCTATGTGGAGAAGAGGCAGAAAGATTATGCAACTTTTTGTAAGAACCAATGAGGAAACAAAGGCACTTCATCATAGGAGATAATTAGTATTATTTAACTTTATGTTGGTACTGATGGTGGAGGAAGATTTAGATTCTTTAAGATAATAATGAGTAAATCATGAAAATGTTTTAGAAAGAGTAATCAAGAATATGGATACTAAATGACTATCCAAAATAAGGAAGCCCAATTTAATCGAGTGAGATTATTGTTTCTTGTTCAAATAAAGTATTGTCTAGCATAACTTCTTGTCACTTGGTTAATACGATTTGAGATTAGCTAACTCACATTCGACAGCTTGTTTGTCATCATCATTTTAGAGGACAATTTATCGAACTAAATGCTATGTAGATTTAAGAACTTACAGCTGTAGGAAAAGTTGAAAGAAGCTGCTCATAGATTGGTGTCGCCTCAGAGATTGGAAGAAGCTGCAAAATCATAGCAAATGAAATAAGAAATGTCAAAACAAATAAAAATAGTATATCTAAATTAGGGTTGTCAATCAATGGCCCGACACGATAATTTGATTTGAACCGGACTAGAAAAAATCAAGTATATGTTAACCAAATTACTATTCAAATGCAGGTAAAAGACAATTTACCAGCGCCTCGCTTGCAAGAATCTCAGCCGCCTCGACATTGTATATATCGTTGTTTGCTACATCCCCACCTTTCAGCTGCGATGAAACAATTCATCGGTTCAGAAACCAGGCTTCTGAGAAAACCCTAAGCAAGGAAATATCCTTGGAAACTCACCTTAGAATCTTCTGACATCTCTTAATTTTTTATTTCAGAAGCGAAACCCTGCAACGAGCACGGAACGAACAAGAAGAGAAAGAATCCATACCTTCGGAGCAGGAGCGCGGCGGCAAAACCCGGCAGCTCGATGGGAGTTGAAGAGTGGCACTCCTGAAATAACTGAGATAAGGAAGATTTGCATGCATACCACTCAATTCTAATGTATTTTACGTATGTACCTCCTAAAGTTTATTTTTTTTACATATAAGAGGTTAGGGTTGTAAACTAGTCGTACACGAACGAGCTCAGCCTCATGCTCAGCTCGTGTTCGGCTCATTTATATTTAAAGCTCAAAAAGTATGTTTGTGTTTTGTAGTTGTTCAAAGGTTGGCTGTTTTTGTGTTGCCTCAGCCGCTAAAGCTAAAGTCTTTATTTCTCCAATTAAGTACCCTTGGACAAGTTAACAAGGGCTCTTTGCCCAGAATCATCAAGTTGGTAATCAAAGGATCTTCTCGTGAGCTTAGTTTGGGAAGGCAACACGGACTCTCAAGATCCAGGCCCGATCTCAAGAGCTATATCTCTCGTCCGAACTTGTACGTATTAGCGTCTCTATACATACTCTCATTGACAACCCTAATAACATAGTTATAGGATGTTAAAGGTTGAGGCAAAATTTAAAAATTATTGTTTATATTAAAACATCATTTGAATCTAATTTAATAATTTTTATTTTATTTTTTTATTTAATACTTTTAATTGATTATAAATCGTTGTAGACTTGTAGTGAATTAATTGTTTTATAAATATTACTTATCAATATATATATATATAGTAATATTTCTAGCCATAACAAATCAAACATGAACAAATAAATATTTGTTTGTGTTCAGCTTACTAACTTAGCGAACGAGCCGAACATGAGTTGTTCACGAACAACGAGCCGTTTTGACAGTCCAATAAGCTGTGTGACTGTGCATAAAAATAGAATTTTTATTTTATTATAATTAAATTTGATATTTTTTATGTGATGAGAAATATTTGAGTGGTATAAAAATAAAAATAAAAATAAAACATCAAATATGTAAATGAATAAGAATTAGGTGATATCTATGTAAATGCCCCTCCAAATAAAAAACTTAGCCATGATTACAATAAAATGTGTTAGATTAATTTAATTAGCATGTGCTATATCCTTTTAATTTTAAAGAATACAATATCTCAATAAATGTTTTTAAATATAAATAAAAGACATGTATGATAATAAAAATAAAATTATAACAAAATAATTTGTTGAGGATAATTAGTAATAAATTTGATGCGTCGTAAAAAAATTTTATCATTTGACTTGAATCTCAAAATAATTTAGATTCGACTTACGATCTGTTTGGGGAAGCTGCAGCTTATTAAATAATTCGTTGATAAGCAAATTAAAAATAATCTGTTGATAAGCTAGGTGAGATGACTATTACAAATTTTTTTTTTTTTTAAAAGACAGATCGCTGCGAGAAAGTTTTCATTTCACCTATATAAGTGCGGTGTGAAAACGTTATTTTCGACATTTTGAAAACGCATAAGCTGTCAAAACGCAATTTACCCAAAAGGGTCAGGGTCGTTTGGTCAGGTTCGTTTTCAAAATGTCACCGCACCAAATAAGGTGCCCCAAACGGACCCTTAAAAATCATTTTGGTATCTAATTTCGGCAAATTTATAGTCAAATTGGTTGTCTTGACAATATGAACCTTGTGATATCAATATTGTTTCAATTTGAGTTCAATCAAGTCAACATCAAATTAGTAAACCATATTTTAAAATTTGGGATCATTAATTCAATGGGTAGATAAGCTTCAAATTTGACTTATTTATAATCAAATCAAGCATCCTAATGAGAGGAATCAAAATAAGCCTCATATCACTCAATTATGAGTTTATTAAGTCCCTTAAATAAAAAATAAATGAAAAAAAAAACATGATTGAATGAGGATCAATAATAGTCCTTCGATCATATGGTTACAAAAGCTTTTGCCAAAACACTAAAATGACCCTCCATAGAAGCTATAAATAGATCCCCTCACTTCGCTTGAGAGGGCAGTTGAATTTCAATGTTCTTAAGTAAAGACACGATGACTTCTGACCCTAATAGTTGTTGACCATCGCCTACCGGTCACCAACGACCACCATCTGTCGTCCATGCTCACTATCATCTGTTGTTCGAGCTCACTATCGTCGGTGAACTCTTTTTGCTAGTTATATATCTTGAATTTAGCATAACAATATGTCATAAACATGGTATAACGACATACTCTAAATACAGTGTGACAATGTATCTCCAATACAATAATGAACAATACCACATTGGGATTTGATGATAACTCCCGGTGACAACTGTTTACGACCATCTTATTCAGAATACGGTCATTTTCTCCTTATATGGTATATAGACAGGTGATATCTCTTATCTGAAATTTTCTCCTTACATCGTATATAGACAGGTGATATCTCTGATGTAAAATAATAAATATGAGAATATGGTTGTAGCTGCTAGCTACTACAACTTCCAACAACGACTTATGTGAACAACTAACGCTACTGTAGCTGCCAACTGCTATCTATATGACCAATAATGACCAATGTAACTAATCGTTCTTGCAGTTTCTAACTATTTCTATTTTAAATGTGCATGTATAAGGGCTTTGGAACATGATTATTTGAGAGGTTCAAGTAAGAAAAAATTATTTACTTTGAGCTCAAGCAAGATTTATAAATCAAGAGTTCTTATATTTTCCACTTAATAGAAACATATAATTGAATTAAAAAAAAAACAAATGTAGCATTTTAATCATGTATATATCAAAATCATTTCCATTGCTTTTCAAGTGAGAGCACATGCACAAGGATATTACTTCCAATGAAGATGATCAAGTACGATGAGCACGCCTGATCAGTCGTCTTTTCACATCATTTACTTCCGCTCGTTGGTTGTTTCAGTGCTAAGACCATTTTGCTCGAATGTGTTAACTTCACATGCACACTTCTATCATGATCTACAATACTATATTATTTTTTACGATTGTCATAACAAATTCATACGATTACATCTATTTAAACAAAAATCTTATGTTCATCTCTATATTTTAGCGGCATTTATACACACCAACCAATTCTTACATATTTACATATCTAACTCCTAAACTACACATTTTTTTGAACTTTTACCATCCAAATATTTCACATCACTTTAAAAATAACGCGGATAGAATATTCTCGTAACATAGCCAGATATTTCAATTTGAACGTAGCTCTATATTAAGAGTCCTGATGTAATATTTTTCCCTCTTTTTCATGGATGTATAAGACGGCATATGTGTATTGTGTAGATGTTAGATATGTAAATAAACATGTATTAAGTGGTACGTATGCAAATCTTCCTTTATTCTTTCATTGCCACCTTGGCCCCCCACCATCTTGCATTTAAAGTGCATAATCTCTTATAATTTTAATTAAATAAATATAAATAGATTCATGAAGACATGAATAAAATAAATTAATTTTCAGTTTAAAAGATAATTGGCTTTCTTTAGTTTTTATCCTAAACTGCCATCCCAATAATCTTGGCCTATCTGATAAATAAATGACTATATAATTCATGGAAGGTACCCCATTGATTCTCATTAAAAGATAATTAATATGCAATTAAAGTTTCCCTTATTTATAAATAGGGAAATTTACACACATATCACATAATTCTTGTGCATTTACCCATCAAACTCTTAAAATGTAATATTCATATTCATTGTACTTTTGTGACTGTGGGATGAAACTAGTCTCTTTTTTTGAGTAAAAATATTGCATCAGGATTCCGCACGTAGAGTTACATGCAGAGTCCAATGAAATAACACATGAATAACACAGAATAATACAGGGGGAATATTCTCTTATGTTATCAGACCGATTTTTTTTTTATTTTTTTATGTACCTCCACGTGGCGTGATTTCATTGGACTCCGCACGTAACTCTACGTGCGGAGTCCTGATGCAATATTTTTTCCTCATTTGAAGGACTGGGGCAATTAAATGAAAATTTATATTTCAAGAGACGCAAAACTAATATTTTAGCAGAGTCAAAACTCTAAACTACTTTCTCACAAAATTAAAAATCTTAATTTGAGAGGGGCACCCTATTTGGTGTTATAACTTATACAAGTAAAGATGTATTTCACATTTAAAAAATTAGTAATAATGATTTTTTGTTTTGGTAGGATTACAAATTTGAGTGTTAAATTTCTAAACATTTTGTTTGATATGTAAATACATAAAAACTATATGATATATTTGTAAATTTCTATAAATAGATAATGCATCAAATTATTAATTTCAATTTCTCTTTTGCAAAACAAAGAGAAAGTATTCCGTACGGACATCGCATGACATCCGATCTCTACCGTCGATCACCGCAATAAAATTTTTTTTTTTTAAAGTTGAAAACGAGGCCCATCAAAATACATATTTACGATAATCGTTGGTGTAGATCGGACATCGCATGCACACTGCATGCATCTCTGCATACGCTGTCCGTATGGAATAATTTTTTTAAAACAAAAGCCCAATCTGATGCTAACTTTACAACTTAATATAATAAAATTATTTCACGCCAGAAGTACCTCTGTAAACAGTACTATAATTTACACAAACTGCACATAAAACATCTCTCTCTCTCCTTTAAGTTAAAATAGTGATATTTATAAAAGTCTGAGTGGTATAAATATAAAATAGTAAAGTTTACGTGTTGGATATGCAATTACAAAAGTAATTTGGGTGGTAGGTATGTAAATGCACTTGAATTATATTATAAATTAAGAGACACTTTCCAGCATGGACTAATCATGATTAATTAATGAAAAAAATAATGTAAATTAACATATTTTGTCATGTAATTATGAGTCTCTTTTATTTTGCATCCATAACCCTACTTGCATGCTTCCACTCCCCTACTGGTTTCATTCAACATTGCAATAAATCCTCCATTGATTGCTCCTGTGATTGTGCCACAGCTGCAAAGTGGAGTGAGGGGTTATGCAAAATAAAATTGTTCGGATCAAGCCAAATTTTCTCTAACAGAACTGTTTGTCAATATGAAATGTCTAAAAAATAAATATATAAGGAAATGTTGGACTAAATCGCATATTTTTGCATTACAATGCATATATACAAAATATATATATATATAAATGAATAAGCATAAGCAAAGAAACAATGAAACAAATATAAATTTACAGTCAAAATCTATTCTCATCACCATCATCATCCATTAACTCCTTATTACAAATAGTTCTAGTGGTGCTCCTCACCACCTTTCCCCTCCTCCCTCCCTTTCTCCTCCACCTTCTCTTCACCCACCTCCTCACCACCCCTAGCGGCCACCACACCCTTTCTGCCGCTCTCTCCAACTCCTCCACGACCTCCTCCATCCTCGGCCTCCTCCCGCCCTCTGTCGCCATGCACCTCCCTGCAACTGCCGCCAACCTCCCCAAAACCCCCTCCCCCACTCCCCTATCCTCGATCACTCTTCTCCCGCCCACCAACTCCAGCACCACCACACCAAAGCTAAACACATCCACCCCCTCTCCGAGCTGGCCAGGCCCGATATACCTCGGGTCTATATACCCTATCGTCCCAGCCGCCGGTCGGCTCGGTCCACCCACTCGAGTCGCCAGGCTGAAGTCTGCCAACCTTGCCCTCCCCTTCCCATCAAACAATATATTCGTCGATTTTACGTCGCGATGTATGATGGGTGGATTAGCACGGTGCAACCCAACCAACCCTCGACCCACCTGAATTGCCACAGCAACCCGCCATGTCAATTCAGAAAGGTCGGGTCTAACCTGAAGCAACTTCTCCAAAGATCCATTGGACATGTATTCCATGAGAAGGAGCTGACTTCCAGTATGATCAGATGCAAGACCAACAAGATTGACGACGTAACGACTACTATAAGACAAGAGGATATCAATCTCGTTGTCAAGGTAGGTCGACGAGGCAGCTAACGGCTTCTTGACGGCGAAGACATCCTTGCCGCCTGAGGACGGCCTTGTAGACACGACCATGGCTGCCTTTGCCGATGAGGTGCTCGAGGGAGAAGTCGTCGGTGGCCGCCTTGACTTCACCATAGTTGAACTCCTTCATCCTTAGCTCTTCTTTGAAGAACTCAAATGGTTTGGTTGTAGAAATATGAAGGGGAAGAGGAGAAGAGTAAAGGTATTGGGGAGTGGGAAAGAGAGAATAAAAGGCAAAGTCATTGAAAGTAAGAAAAAGCGTGGGATGGCAAATTCCAAAAGCACTTTGGTCTGAAAAGGAATATATTAAGATAATTATATATATATATATATATATATATTACATGTGGAGTGGATTTATACGGCGGTGGATTTTATTTGGGAT